AACCACTGAGCTAAATCCCCAGCCCTGGAAGATAAAATAGGTAAAATTAATGAAAACATATGCATAAGCAAGGACTTTCTGAATAGAACTCCAACTGAATAAGAACATCAAGAATCAAAAGGGGGGCAGGGATTTAGCTCTGTGGTTCCACCACCTGCCTAGAAACTGCAAGATCTCGAGTTCAATCCCCAGTACCAAAAAAAAAAACCAAGAATCATATCAAATTAAAAAGCTTCTGCAAAGGAAAGAACCAACAGTGAAGAGACAACCTACAGAACGGGGAAAAAAAATTCACTTGGGAGGCTTAGGCAGGCGGATTGTTTTGAGTTTGAGGCTAACCTGAACCACATAGCAAAAACCTGTGGCCAAAAGCAACAATTGCCAGTTACTCCTTGGACAGCAGCCTAATATGTAGAATATATAAAGAACTAGGGCTGGGGATTTAGCTCAGTGGATCTGCCGCCTGCCTCACAAGCACAAGGATCCGAATTCAATCCCCGGTACCAAAAAAAAAGTGTACCAATAAAGAACCCTCCCTCCAAAAAAACCTATTATAAAATGGGCAACTGAAATGAATATAGGCACTTCTCAGAAGTACAAAGGGCCAGTAAATATATGAAAAATGTTCAACGTCTCTGGTCTCCAGAGAAATGCACACTGAAATAACACTGAGATTTCAAAGAATAGATATCATCAAGAAATCAAATAAAAGGGCTGGGGATTTAGCTCAGTGGTTCTATCGCCTGCTCCGAAAGCGCAAGGACCCGAGTTTAATCCCCAGTACCAAAAAAAAAAAAAATCAAATAAAAACAAATGCTAGAGAAGCTGCAGGGGAAAGGGAGCAGAAATATAAAATGATAGATACAATTTTTTTTTGGTACTGGGGACTGAGGATTTAGTTATTAGTTATGCTGCTATAAATGTGGGTATGCATGTGTCACTACGATATGGTGTCTTTTAACTCTTTTGGGAATATACCCAGAAACGGAGTAACTAGGTAAAATGAAATATCTAGTTTTAGTTTTTTGAGAAATCTCTGTACTGATTTCTACAGTGATTTATAGCTTATATAAATTGTATTGTGGGCTGGGGATTTAGCTCAGTGGTGCCACGCCTGCCTTGCAAGTGCAAGGTCCTGAGTTCGATCCCAGGTACCGGGAAAAAAAGAAAAAGCTTTCCAGGTATGAAGTGTAAGAGGGCCTCACATATAGGAGGTTCACCTGGGGAAACTAGATGAATGCATATCTTCCAACTTTTAAGGGAGGCAATGTCAGCTGCTACTTATTTACTACTTAAAAGGGAACAATTTCTAAGTACTTTGCCCAACTGTAAACATACCTGTCTGTTGTCCCTTTTGTTTCTTAATTTTGAATTGAGGCAAAATACACACAACATAAAATTTATTATCTCCATCATTTTAAAGTGTATAGTTCAGCTTCATTAAGTACACCCATACTATCATGCAAACCTTTTCATCTGCAAAACTGAAACTTGGTGGTCCATGACTGTATAACCCCAGCTACTCAGGAGGCTGAGGCAGGACGATTACAAGTCTGAGGCCAGCCTGTGCAATTTAGAGAACCTGTCTCAAGGTAAAAAATAAAAAGGGTGCAAAGCCCTGAGTTCGATCCCTAGTACAAAAATAAATAAATAAATTAAAATGGCTGAGGATGTAAGTGGTAGAGTGCCCCTACGTTCAATTCCTAGTACCACAAAAAACAAAAACAAAAAAGACCTGAAACTCTATACCAGTTAAACAATCCCCATGGCCCCTTCTCTAGATACCTGAGTGGAATCCTACAGTATAGTCTTAGTGATTGGTTTACAGTAAGTCCCCGACTTACAAAAGAGTTCCATTCTGGGACAGTTGTTCAAAAGTAAAATTCATTTGTTAGCCAACAAAGTAAGTCTTACATACACTACAACTGTGAAAGTTCACAACTTGAATGTTTCTAAGTCAGGATTTACTGTATATCACTTAGCATGTCTTGGTGTCCCCCACCCCCACCCCCACCCCACTCCCGTTCCCCATACTGGTATCAAACTCAGGACCTTGCACTTGCCAGGCCCCACCCACGTCTTGCCGTCTTCTGGAGCAGTTTATGCCTAATGACTCCAAGTTGTACTACATATTCACAGTACTTCTTTTGCCCTCAGTATACTGAATTATCTCACATCATTTTAACTACCTCCTCCAAAAAATGTTGGACATCCAAAGAGGTCACAGGCATGTCTTCTCTAAAACACCAATGACCAAGATTTATACAAAATTGGGCCGGGGATTTAGCTCAGTGGTTCTGGCACCTGCCTCTCAAGTGCAAGGGCCTGAGTTCAATCCCCAGTACCAAAAAGAAAAAAAAAAAAGATTTATATAAAATCTACAATCTTATGACAAAACTACATAAGAGAATAAAACTAATAAATCAATATATCTCTGACTTCACACATTCAAACATCAATAAGTCTTCCAAAATCACTCCATGAATTCATTCTAGGTAGTTGTAGTTAAGTGGCAAGTTTCCTGGTAACTTATCTCTTCACTTTCTTTTCTTTTGGGTACTAGGGATCAAACTCAGGACCTTGCACTTGCAAGGCAGGCAGCAGAACCACTGAACTAAATCCCTGGCCCCATCTCTCTTCACTTTAAGGGTCTCTAACTACTTTCTGGATAATATTAATTTCACATTTAATAATATACCGATCACAGTGCTTTCTTTTTCCAGTGTTTTCTAACTGTCCCTCCTGCACATATTCCCAGCAAAAGTCTAAGCTAGGGAGTGTCATATACTTCTGTTATAAACTTTTAAGTGCTAAATATGATATACTATTAAAATAAATGATACTGACTTAAATAAAACAAAATGAAAACCACCAGAAAACAGTAGCAACTACTAGTTTTATTGTTGTATACAACTTATAAAAGCAATGAAATGCTGAAATGACCCAAGTAGCTTGTTTAAAATCAGTATTTTATTTCTTTTTATATTTTTGGTTTTTTGAGAGGTCTTAATATGCAATCATAGCTGGTGCTGAACTCACTACATATCCCAGGCTGGCCACAAATCATGGCAATGCTCCTGCCTCAGCCTCCCAAGTGTTGGCATTACAGGAATGCACCACCACACCTGGCTAAAATCAGTATTTTAAAGGTAGTAACAATATTGTTTTGCAGTTAAAATTTTGATTAGATGCAATTAAGCATGCACAGCAAAATTTTAAATTAAAATGAAAACTTAACCACTATACAAGAGATATAGAAGATACAGAACAATGTATCTTCCAAAGAAGTATCTGGTGTAAAGTAAAAAGAGAAAACAAAACAAAACCAAGGCAGCCATGGTGGTGCATATCTATACTCCTAGCACTCAGAAGACTGAGGCAGGAGGATGGCCACAAGTTCAAGGCCAGCCTGAGCTACATAGTGAGTTCAAGGCTAGCCTGCACCCTATTTAAAAAAAAAAAAAAAAAAAGGATAAAAAGCACAAAGTGCAAGATAGTAGAATAAAGTTCAAATTCATTTATTCAACAATGATGTTACGGACAGTCTACTAAAAGCCAGACATTATTTTAGGCCCCAGGTATACAACAGAAAACAAAACAGAAAAATATCTGCCCTCATGAAGCTTCTTTGCTAGTGGGAAAAAACATAACAAACTAGATAAATGAACCAATCATGTGTTATGTCATATGATGATAAGCACAAGGGCAAATAATGCAATGGATTTGTAAAATTGGAAGAAGTCTTGTCAAAGAGAGCCGCCCAGAGGAGGGAAGCCATATAAGTGGATATCTGGAAGACCACTCCAGGGATGAGTTGTAACAAGTGCAAATATCCTGGGGGTCTAGGATGTGCTTGAGGAGGTCTCCCTTACACAGATTTAGGAAGAGATGAACTCAGGGATAAAGCAGGATGGGTCACATAGGAAGTTGGAAGATACTTTAAAGCTTTGGCTTTTAACACTTTCCTGCTTGTACGAACCACAGGTGGTACACACATGACTGTCCAATTGGATGGCTTGTACCAATGGTGGTACAAACAGATCGAATCACTTTATCGGTCTTCTTACTAATAAAATTAATAAGAAAGGGTTAAAGAGTGTAGTTAAGATTTAACTCCTAAGATTTGCTGATAGGTTGTATGTGAAACAGCTGAAGCAAGATGACTAAAGATTTTGACCTACATATCTCAGTGGAGGCAATTAATGCAAACACAATGAACTTACAAATCAAAAGGCAAAGGCAGTAGGTAAAAAAAAAAAAAAAATCTCCGGCGATATGCTGTTTACAAACGGCACATGAGTATACTGAAAACTTAAAACTAAAAGGGCCGGGGACTTAGCTCAGTGGCTCCAACGCCAGCCTCACAAGTGCAAGGTCCTGAGTTCGATCCCCGGTACCAAGAAAACCAGAAAAAACTTAAGACTAAAAATACGAGAAAAAGTTATGATGCATATCTCAAAATACAGCAGCTGGTGGCTATATTCACATCGGAAAAAATAGGAGTCCTCTCTTCATCTCCAGCTGCTACATGTTTGGCATTTGTTAACCTTGTCCTTCCGGCAAGACTACATTTTATTTTATTGTAGTTTAGGGGTTTTTTTGGTACCGGGGATCGAACTCAGGACCTTGCGCTGGCGAGGCAGGCGACAGGCCACTGAGCTAAATCCCCGTCAAGACTACGTTTTTCGACAACCAAGTCACACCCTTATTTGGATCGAAACCTGGTTTATGGAACAGTCTCCAGTTGGTAGTAAGCGCTATGGAAAGTTTTATAATTTTTAAAAATTCTCCGCCTAGGGCCGGGGTTTTAGCTCAGTGGCACCGCGCCTGCCTCACAAGCGCAAGGACCTTAGTTCGATCCCCAGTACAAAAAAAAAAAAAAAATTCTCCGCCTACTTAAGGTTCTTTCTCCTTGATTACAAATATTAATAATAGGAACGACGAGATTTTCCTCCACGGTGACATTAAGTCCCGTCACCAGTCGCCTTGTACAATTTTACCTCTTCTAGAGTGACCTGCGGCCTCCCCAGGAGTTTAAGAATCCCGGGGCCATCTTCTGCTAATCCTAAATAGGACTTCTCACGAAGGCTCCCGGCCCCCGCGCTCACGCTCTCCTCACCCCGCCGGCCTCCTCATTGCACCGGCCGGGCAACCTAAGAAGTCAAGGGAAAGAAAAGACAACAAGGGCTTTGCAAGGTGACGCGGTGGCCCAGATCGGCCAGAAAAAATTGCCGTCTCAGCTCCCCCGGCCCCACCAAGCTCACCTGCACGCGGCCAGACCCTCCTCGCGCGCAGTCCCACTAAAACGCTTCCGGCGAAGACGCTTCCGGCTCAGGGCGGAAGTGCTGTAGAAATACAGGAAGTTCTGCCGCGGCAGGCTTGAGCTACTGTCTCTGGAGCTCCGAGTGGATTGTTTCGGAAAGTATTGGTACCCAGAAGCTGCGTCAGCCCAACGGAACCTAAACCCAGCGAACGCTGCGTGGCAGAGTCCCAGCTGTGAAACCTGGAATGACAGAGCAGCCCAGTCAACGCGCATGCTCCAGTTTAATTTCATACCAAGAAAGAGTTACGAGTCCTAACAAGAGATTCAGTTTCATGTTTATTGGGAGTCTACCACGTTGGAAGCACGTAGTAACAGACAAGAATATAATGGTGATGCCTCCAAAGCGGGAAAAAAAAATTATCAACTAGCTAAAACATAAGATTAAATATATATATAAAAAAATAGAAAAGCTACCCTCGACATGTTGATTTCTACGCATCAATTTTCCCATGTTAAAAACTAGTAACTGGGGGGCCGGGGATTTAGTTCAGTGGTTCCGGCGCCTGCCTTGTAAGCGCAAGGTCTCAAGTTTGATCCCCGGTACCAAAAAAACAAACAAACAAAAAAACTAGTAATTGGGCCGGGGATTTAACTCAGTGGTGCCGCCGCCCGCTTTGCAAGCGCAAAGTCCAGAGTTCAATCCCCGGAACAATCCCCCCCCCCCCAAAAGCTAGTAACTGTCTCATTGCTAGGACCAAAGGATACGATGCATAAATAAGCGTTTATTGATGGGGTCTGGCACGTGACTGAAGACCTAAATACCTGGGTTTTGGAGTCACCCGAGCTCTTGCGTAGCAGACAGGAGACAGGCTTCATTCCTAACACTGCACAAAAATAGATAAATAAAGGAAGGCTTTACCCCAACCAAAGGGAAATGAATAACATTTCATCGAGGTAATATTGGTCCTGAATGTTTTAATGTTAAAGTCGATTTAAAGGATTTCAACAAGTAGACATACATACGCTTTTGTGATTAATGAAAAGACACAAGGCGGGAAACTTCCATTTCAGAAGCTTTGCTGTTTGAAATCCTATTAGTAGGAATCCAACATCCTGTTCTTGCCTGGAATATCTATGCTACGTGGGTCAAAATGGCACTTTTTCAATATAGGTGTAGAGCTTCAAATAAGAGATTTTTTAGATACAACATTCCACATTTATTTTCGTTTTATAGTTTTCAAGGAATCCAGACCTGAGCCTGCTTCATTTAACTACAGTATTACCTACATTCTGTTAAATCTATGCTATCCTTGCCCCCCACTAACCCCTTCAGTGCTGGGGATGGAATTCAGAGCCTCATGCATGCTAGGCAAGCACCTTAACACTGGGTACACCCCCAGAACCTCCTCCTTTAAAATTTTTTTTAGCTGGTGTAGTGGCACACACCTGTAGTCCCAGTGATATATGAGAACTATAACTTTCGACCTGTTAGAGGTCAAATTGCCAAGTTTGTGGCCCCACAACATCAAGGAATGAAGCCACAAACCAAAGGAAGGAGTTAGGAGAGTTTTATTGAAAATAAGGAGAGGAAGAATAGCTCTTGAATTTCCAGGAGGGGGTCCCGCATGGGGTGGCTAAAGAGGCCCTTTGTCATGGGAAATTAATTAATTAATTAATTATTTTGTCATGGGAAATTTATACACCAAAATCACTACATGGGTACAACATGGATCAGACTATAGGACAATTAACCTATACCCTTACAAGAATAGCAACTTAGCTAATAGTGATCCAATAGGGAAACAAGTCATGTAGCAAGGGTGCATGGAAAGAACAAAGGCGTTTTTGAGAAGGGAAGGGAGTATAAGTCTGAATGTTCTGGTCACCCACCTATGCACCAGATGCCTATTGGGCCCACTGGACCAAGTAGTGCTAATTACAGTATACTCTCAAGTTGTTTATGTCTGGGAAGGCATACAGACCTGGCCATTGTGCCTCCATTTTTTTTTTTTTTTTTTTTTGGTACCAGGGATCAAACTGTATCTCCATTTTGCATCTCCAGCCACAATCCTGATGTCTTTATTTTTTGTGCTTACTTCCTCGAGAGCCCAGTCCCTCTCTAACTGTATATTAATTTCTATCTAACTTAGTTGCCTATAATACCAGCCCTTGGGAGGCTGAGGCAGGAGATTGGTACAAGTTCAAGTCCAGCTTGAACTACATAGGGAGACCTTGTTTTAAAAAAATTTTTTAACTTAGATTCTCCCAGTTCCTCTAATATATGTTCTCCTTTGTTTCAGAAACTTAATGAACTTTGTTACACAAGTTTGTCAGTGATATTCTTTATTGAATGGGCTTGCACCACTTACACTATAACTCCAGCACTATACTCAAAGCTGAAGAATAATAAAGGCATATTGCTTACTTATTGGAGGGTGATCGATCCTCTGACTGTCTAGAAAGGGGGATGGCTGCACTGCAGAGGGGCAGAGTCATCCAGAGAGACTATAGTGTAGCGTAATCTGGGATGGTCCTATGACAGAGGCTTGCAGCAGCGAAAGAAAATATCTCCTGGAGTGGCTCTGAGGCAATTTGAGAATCTACAAAAGGGGTTGAGACCCAGCATTGGAGGATAAACAAACAAACAAACAAATTAAATTTAGGGCAACAGTAGAGGTCTATAAATATTGCTTTTCTTTTAAAAGTGGTGGTACAGCATTCTAGCTGAAATCTATACTGAAGAAATGTTCTCGTGTTACTTACAATGAAAAAAAAAGACCCTAAATCAGTTGTATGCTTTGTTTTTGAATAAAGCACTTTTTTCCCCCAGTTCTGGAGATGGAGCCCAGAGACCCTCTACCACTGAACTACTTCCCTAGCCATATATATATACACATATACATATATATATATATATATATATATGTATATATTTTGTTGTCCTGGGGATCGAACTCGGGACCTTGTGCTTGCAAGGCAGGCGGTGGAACCACTGAGCTAAATCCCCGGCCCTCATTTTATATTTTTTATTTTGATAGTTTTGCTAAGTAGCCCAGGGTGGGCTCAAATTTATAATCCTCCTGCTTTAGACCAGCATAGCTGGGATTACAAGTGTATGCCACTATGCCCAGCCATGTACTCCATGTTTAAGCTTTGCATTGTAAAAATCTCAACTGAATACTTTAAGCTGAAGGCCACTCACTGATTTCCTATTTGGGAGGAGTGGTTTGTTTCTTCTTGTTTATTAAGACATTTTGTTTTGGAAAAAGTCTTCAGCAAGGAATTACAATTTTAAATTATGCCAGGTTGACAGAGGAAATTTAATAGGTGGCTGAGAAAACATTTCACAAAGAAGTACTACAAATAAAGACATGATTTTGGGAACATGTAGTGTTCCGGAATCGTGGAAGGAAATGCACAGAGATACAGAATTTGGGTAAAATAACAAAGGTCTTTACTTGCTAGCAAGCCAGGATGCCAGAAACAGGTCTGGTCAGAGTCCCCTGCTGCATTCTTTGTTCATCACCTTTTATACTTTTGTCAGTCATTATGTGATCCCTAGTGGTTCTAATTCCTGGTTAATGGTTAGACACAGGTGGTTTCTGTCACTGATTACAGTCCTAAACAAATGACAGTTAAGGCACATATATCACAAGTTTGTTCAAGGATTCCCACTTTGTTCTTCAGAGCTAGGATGTTATCTATAGTAGAGCTACAGATCAAAGGAGCTATATAACCTTCACTTTAAACAACAAAAGCAATGGGCTAAGGCAAGCTTTTAAAGGGATACACTACCTATTTTGCTTTCACAACTACTTTTGCCGGGGATTTAGCTCAGTGGTTCTACCGCCTGCCTCACAACTACTTTAATAGCTAATCTACTAAACTTACTTTAAAACTTTTCCCTCTCAGTAGGACATCTTTCAGAATCAGAAGATAGGGTTAGGTGCAGTAAAGGCTATTAACAAATGTGCAAGATAAAAAGGGAAGCAGATTACATGAAGCTTTAACTAGGAAACTAACTTTTGTCCTAAAAAGGATTTTTAAATAAGGGCATACAACATAAAAGCAAAAAAATGAATAATTGGGCCAGGGATTTAGGTCAGTGGTGCTGCTGCCTGCCTCCCAAGTGCAAGGTCCTGAGTTTGATCCCAGGTACAAAAAAAAAAAAAAGAAGAATCTGGGAATTGTGTCCACACTGGGCTTGCAAGATCCAAGGAAGTTGAGAAAATATCAAGTGACATTATTCATATTTGGGGTGATGCTATTCCAAGCCCACAGGAAATTATTGGTGTGATTATTTGATTTGGTCCAGCAATCACTAGCTAAATAAAATTCCCATTTGAATTCCCTTATGCCATGATATGACATAGGAAACTGCATGAAATTCTTCCAGCTTCCTCACTGAATAGTCTTAAGTGACTTGTGGACTCAGCCAAGAATTTCAACATTGGTAATTTCATTTTTGTGATACTAGGGATCAAACCCAGAGCTTCTGCACTAAGCTGCACCCCCAGCCCTTTTTAAAATTTTTTGAGACAGGGTTTTGGTAAATTGTTCAGGCTGGGCTGAGTTGGGATTCTCCTACCCCAAGATTCTGGGTGCTGGGATTACAGGCGTGCACCAACAAACCCAGCTGTTGGTGATTTTTTTGTGGTACCATGTTATTAAGCCATGGTCTTTCACATGTTAGTTGAGGGCTCTACCACTCAGTTGTATCTACAACCCTTTTTTATGACAAGGTTTTGGTAAGTTGGCCATGTTGGACTTAAACTTGCACATGAAGTATGAGATTATAGGTTGCACCTCCATGCCTAGCTTTCTTTTTTTTGGCCTGGCTCTTGACACCATTTTCCATGGTACTGAATCATCTCTTGGCTTCCTCTAAACTATCAGCATTTATTTATTTTTATTTTTTATTTTTTTGATATCAGGGATTGAACTCGGGTCCTTGTGCTTGCGAGGCAGGTGGCGGAACCACTGAGCTAAATCCCCAGCCCTACTATCAGCATTTATATTCAGATTTTTTCCCCAATCTTTATAGTACTGAAAGTCTTTACTTTTATTGCTAATACATTTATTGAACGATATAATTTTTGTTTAACTTCAATCCACAGCTTTTCAAAACTTAATTAGCCAAGTTTCAGGAGTCTGTATACTGAACTTAAAAAATTACACTTTCATTTTTGTTATTAAAACACAAATGAATTTTCATCAAACTTTTTAGAAAATCTATTAGTCTCTTTGAATTGCTTCGTTTTGCTTCAAATGACATAGTTTGTTGCAATAATCTGCTTTTCAGTTTCCTTAAATGTTTTGTGTGTACATTTCTTTAAGGTTGACTTTATGTCAGCTTTAATACATAAACCAGTTCTTTTTATAAAGTATTGACATGTTACAATTATTAAAGCTGAATCTCTTTAAAACTTTATTATTTTTTTTTGGTACTGGGGATCAAACTAGGGACCTTGTGCTTGTGGGGTAGGTGGCGGAACCACTCAGCTAAATCCCTGGCCCCTTAAAACTTTATTCTTTTTCTTTTTTTTTTTGGTACTGGGGATCGAACTTGGATCCTTGCACTTGCGCAGCAGGCAACGAAACCACTGAGCTAAATCCCTGGCCCAAAACTTTATTCTTTAAATGTTTATTCTCGATTAAATTTCTATTAAATGACTTATCATGTTGTTAAGATTTACAAACTACATATATTGCTTACCATTAGTACTATCACTCATTGGACCTCACTGAGGTAAAAATATCTTCCATAATTCAATAGACCAACTCTGAGATCTGCACATAATTTATGTATGGAGATAAATATAATTCAAAGCTAGTAAGTTGGTCATTCTAAACCAGAGTGCTTGATATCTGAATTTAAATTTTTTTTCCTCAAAAAAAAAGAGGTCTTGCTGAGGTAAGATTTATGGCAACATTAGGTGGGCTTTTTTTTTTTTGGCAATATCAGGGATTGAAGGCCAGGCCTCATGGATGGTGGGCTAGCACTCCACCACTGAGCTACCCCCTCAGCCCTTTTTGAGACCAGTGTTCAACTGCCCAGATTGGCCTTGAGCTTGTGATCGAGTAGCTGCAATTACAGGTGTACACTACAACAACCCACACCCTGCCAAATAAATAAATCAATTTGGTCTCTGCATAGACTAGAAAATATTTTTATTTTTAGAAAACATTTAAAAATGTTAAATTATGTCTTTTACCCAGCAATTGGAAGGGTGAGGTAGGAGGAATGCCACAAGTTCAAAAGGCCAGCCTGCACTACAAGGCGAGATCTTGTCTCCAAAAAAAAAAAGATCTTGTTTTTAAAGTGGCAAACTCCAATTCATACTTGGGTCATCACAAGATTTTCCTTTATGGAGAAAAAAATTACTGTAGCATTAACATAAGCAGATGAATTCATTCATTTTATTGGTTTTAAAGCTCTCATTACATTCTGGCATGGTGCAGAGTTTTATTAGATAGAGGAAATGATTCTGTTAAAGTTTCCACTTCAGCTGGGTGTGGTAACACATGCCTGTATCTTAGCACTTGGGAAGCTGAGGGAGATGAGGCCAGCCTGGGCTATATAGTGAGTTCAAGGCAACCTTGAACTACATAGATCCTATCTCAAAACAATAACACAAAGAAAAAAACAACAAAAGTTTCCAATTCCTTTTTTTATTTTTATTTTTTGTTTTTTTGAGACAGGGTCTTGCTATATAGTTCAGGCTGGCCTCAAACTTGCAGTGATCCTCCTGTTTCAGCCTTGTGAGTGCTGGGATTATAGGCATACATGACCACACCTGGTCCCAATTCAATTTCAAGCATTTGTCACTGATAAAGGCAAGATAAAATGATGAAAGAATCATGAATTAGCACCAGGTCACAATTAATTTGATTAGGCAAGGAGAAAGATTTTATTTAAGCATTCTTTATAATTAAAGGTAAATACTTTCTGTCCATACAATCACATTAGATTTTTAAAAATTATCATGGTTCTTCAAAAGTATCAATTTATAAACATAAAAGTTCAAATTTCCATATTGCAGCACAAATACCCAGATTTTAAGTGGTTCCTCTATCACTGTCAAAATAGTTTAGAATTATCTTGGGGCCGCGGATTTAGCTCAAGTGGTTCCCCAGCCTGCTGCGCAAGCGCAAGGACCTGAGTTCAATCCCCGGTACCAAAAAAAAAAAAAA